CACAGGCGAGAGAGTGGAGGGACCTAACCTTCCCTAAAACTGTGTGCGAGGTTGCGACGCTGCTGAAGAGGTGAGTGAGGGAACGCTCCGGGAAGGTGGGACATGCGGAGGGGGACGTGGCATGCGCCTGGAGCCCAGGGAGAAGCAGAGGCGGTGGAGGCTGGAGTGTCAGCCGGGCTGGGCCACGGCGCCCTGTGGGCCGCAGGAAGGACTGGTCTCAGACAGAAGCAGCGGGAGGTTTTACACAGGGAGGTCTGCCGAGGTGGCGAAGGCGCGAGGCAGGCAGGGGTGGATGCAGAGAGCTGGGGGGATGCAGGGCCGGGAGGAGGCTGGCGCAGGAATGTGTAGGAAGGGACGTAAGACTAGACGGCCAGGGCCTCTGGCTCAGGGATGCTGGCAAGAGAGCAGGCAGGAACCGGACCCAGAGGCGGCAAGCACATGTCCCGCCTCCGCCATTCACGGGATGTGCCAGGAACACCGCCCCCCCGCCCTCGGCTCAAGCTTCCCTTTGCCGCTTTCATCATCGGGCAGAAACCAGGGCCCGCCAGCCCGCAGGTGCTGTCCTAGCGCCACCGGTTCGCCGCTCAGGGACTGTCCCACCAGTGGACACCCCCCGCACCCCCACCGCCCGACGCTCTCCTGGCCGAGCCCTCACCCACGATGGTGGAGAACCTGCGTGTGGGCTCCTTGCCGGTCACCAGCTTGTACAGCTCCGGGTAGTAGAACTCCAGGCTCTCCAGGAACACCACGTAGCCCCGCTGCCCCTTGGTGTGCAGGATGTCCAGCAGCCGGCCTAGGGACACGGCCCCGTCACAGGTGACCGGACCCAGGTCCCATGTCCAGCCTCATCCCGGACTCCCATCCCTCAGCGAACGCGGAGAAGACAGCGTCGCCACAGCCGTCGCTCCCGAGGTGCCTCCCGGGTCCGGGGGTGGAAATCAGCGCCAGGCCCTCAGCGGGGATGCGGTGGCTGTCAGCTCCCTTCCTCTGGGAAACTGGGGGGACCCGGGCACCGGGACACGGCCTCAGGACACCCACAGCTTCCTGTCGACCGGGTTACAGTGAGCCATGCTGGCTCGGCTCCCTGACCGGAGGAGGGGGAAGTGCAGTGGCCACTACAGCGTGGAGGGTGTTCTCTGGGCTTCGGAGCAGAAAGCACATTCTGTGCGGGGAGCTAGGAGTCCCCGGAAGAAGGCCGCTCCCCTCGGGGCTGCCAAGCGCCTGGAAACAGCTTTAACGCCAGAGGGATGTGCCTGCAGGTCTCTGCCCCACGGGTCCCACTGAGTGTTTACATGTCCTGGCCTCCCCTCGCTGTTTCACTTCCAGACGTTTCTACCCTGGAGGTCCCTGAGCTCGACATGTCCCCAGGACGGCAGGACACGCGCATGTTATCTTGTGTGGGCTGCCGGCGTGTGGGCTGCCGGGGTGTGGGCTGCCGGGGTGTGGGTGCCGGCGTGGGGCTGCCGGCGCAGTGGGGGCGGGGCTGGGAGTGACAGCCGCGCTCGGCAGGAGAGCGCTGTGATGGGTGATGAGTGTCGTGCTCACAAAGGACAGTCACAGCGCACGAGGCACTTAGCACCATCACGCCGCGGGGAAGTGACTCCAAACCTTTTAAACTGTGAGCCACAGAGAGAGACATGTATCCTGTGACCCCGTGTGCCGCACAAGGACAAATACACACACGTGTGTACACACAGGCACGTGTATAAAACCACAACTAGTTTCACAAACCAGACTTATCGCCTTGAGTGAATGTAATAAAGGCAGTCCGACAGACCCCTTCTCAGAAGACTCTAGAGCAGCGGTTCTCAACCTGTGGGTCGTGACCCCTTTGGGGGTCGAACGACCCTTTCACAGGGGTCGCCTAAGACCATCGGAAAACACAGATATAATTACATATTGTTTTTGTGATGAATCACTATGCTTTAATGATGTTCAATTTGTAACAATGAAAATACATCCTGCATATCAGATATTTACATGACGAATCATAACAGTAGCAAAATTACAGTGATGAAGTAGCAACGAAAATAATTTTATGGTTGGGGGTCACCACAACATGAGGAACTGTATTAAAGGGTCGTGGCATTAGGAAGGTTGAGAACCACTGTTTATATATGTGTTTTCAGATGGTCTTAGGTGACCCCTGTGAAAGGGTCGTTCGACCCCCAAAGGGGTCACGACCCACAGGTTGGCGACCCACAGGTTGAGAACCTCTGCTCTAGGGTGTCCCCAAAACGTATGCACACCCTTTGAATAATTATATAGGCAGTGTTTATTAAAGCACATTTCCTTTTCAAAATTGAGCTGTCAGCTGCTAAAGTGTGCACACATTTTTTGGGGACACCCTGCATTCTTAAACAGATACAACGCATTGGGTTCCACGGGGTATCAATGATGATAGAATACAGTTCTTGAACAGCAAAGTTATGATTCAGTAAGAAATGTGCTACTTTATGCAGGAAGTGACACACTCTCTCGGCAGCTCTAACGGCTACTCTAACTCCGAGGGAGCGATGAGTGTAAATGGTGTGTGGAGGGACTGTGACCGCGGTAATGGAAATGAAGACGTCGGTGATTGTGACCGGTGACCACGTCCCAGGTATCGCTAATCACCTGCTTTGTCGCCTGCCTCCCCCGTCAGCGGAGGGGTGCTCCCCTCAGGCCGGGTAGGAAAGTAAACACCGTTTCCCGCTCTCCGAGGCCGAGGCCGGGACCCTCTCAGTTCTACCGCTTGGTGGGGGGCAGGGCCGGGCAGAGGGCCGTGGGCCCAGCTGATAATTCCCGCCCCGGAGAAACTTTACGCTGGCACACTAGCCAGAGGGGTTTCCTGGGGCCACCACCAGGGGCAGCCCGCCCGCCCCGTCCCCCGTCCCCGTCCCCGTCCCGGGAGCGGCTGGCTCACCCGCACGGTTGATCTTGGAGGGCAGCATGGGCGCGTTGAGCACCTCGTCCTCGTCCTGCTCGTCGATGACCTTGCACTGGCGCAGGTAGGGCGTGAGCTTGGCCGGGTTGATGTAGCGGCTCAGCATGTGCCGGTTGCACTCCACGTTCTCCCACAGCGCGTCCTCCTCGTCCTTGAGCGTCTCCATGTAGTCGTCCATCCCGGGGCCGCCTCCTGGCACACAGAAGGCACGCGGTCACCCGGGAGCTCCCGGGACCGCGGGACCAAGTCCTTCAGGGTGACCTCTGGACGCTGTTGGGTTCTAAAGGCCAAGCAGGGCCTGGTTGGGCCTCATCCCGGGCACCGAAAGGGTGCCGGTTCGATTCCCGGTCAGGGCACATGCCTGGGTTTCGGCTCGATCCCCAGTGGGGGGCCCGTGGGAGGCAGCCGATGGATGTGACACCCTCACATTGATGTTTCTCTCTGTTCCCTTCCTCTTTCTCTCAAATCAATAAGCGATTCTTTAAAATAAATTGATAAATAGATAAATGAAAAGAGTCAGGCAGAGGAAAGCATTATGGTATTTTAACCATTTAAGAAAGGAAGGGAGAGGCCTGGCCAGGTCGCTCAGTTGGTTAGAGCGTCGTCCCGATTCACAATTCGGTTTGATCCCTGGTCCGGGCACATACGAGCATCAACCGATGAATGCATACACAAGTGGAACGGCAAATCGGTGTTTCTCTCTCCCTCTCCCTCCTCCCTCTCGATAACCAATCAATCAGTGAATGAAAAGAAAGGAGGGGATAGAATACAGACAGGCAGGGTGAGCAAAAGCCGGCTCACAGGTGTTCGTATGGAGAAAGACACGGGTTCTGGCTGTGACAGTAGCTTTACCAGCTCTGTGTTCCACGTACTCACAACTGGAGCGCTGCCTTCGCCACCCGTGTCTACGTTCCTGTCTATGCTAACCATGAGCCACGGGCGGACAAGCCACAGTGTTAGGGCAACAACTCCTGGGAGAGGGGAGACTGCAGCGGGCGTACAGCCCCCCGAGCTCTCATGCCTCACGGGGAATTGTCCTCAACGAAGACCACCCGTGTGGTTATCTTTTGTTTTGCAGTTTCACGCCGATGGTGTCATGCTGCGCGCTTCCTCGCTTCCTTTTTCAACTTGCTTTCTTTTCTCTACGTTTTTGAGACGGATTTACGTTGATATATACGTCTGATCTGTTCATTTTTTAAAATAAGTATTTATTGATTTTTTAGAGAGAGGAAGGGAGAGGGATAGAGAGTTAGAAACATTGATGAGAGAGAAGCATCGATCAGCTGCCTCCTGCACGCCCCCTACTGGGGATGTGCCCGCAACCAAGGTACATGCCCTTGACCGGAATCGAACCTGGGACCCTTCAGTCCACAGGCCGACGCCCTATCCACTGAGCCAAACCGGTTAGGGCTGATCTGTTCATTTTTAAACAGCTTTAATGAAATATAGTTTATGTAGCACACAATTCACCTTTCTAAAGTGTACAATTCAAACTACATTCACAGAGCTGCCCAGCGATCACCCCAATTCATGTTAGGACAGTTTCATCGCCCCCAAAGGAAGCGCCATGGGCATCCTTCTGATGCGCACCCCTCCCGGCCTGGGCACCCACTGACTTCTTTCCAGACACCTGCCTTTTCTGGACCTTCATGCGCAGCAGGCGCTCCATTGTCAGGGTGACAGTGCCTGCGTTTCAAGTGCTTTATTCACGTCTAACGGTGGCACGTGTTCCGTGGTAAGAACATAGCAGCGTTATTTATCCCTTCCCCCCGGTTTTCGACTGGAACATTCAGCACTGTCTCCAGCGGGAGAGCATGGAGCAGCCTGACCAGGAGACAGTCCCGGCCCTGCTCCACGGAGCCACGGCTCTGAGGGATGCATGTGGCGGCCCCAGGGCGGCCCCAGACACGCTGGTGTTAAAAGGGAAGATTTCAGAACAAACACAGGTCCTTTAAGAAAAAGCACTTTGGTCTTTGCCCCCTTCCCTCGGGATCTGGAGGGGTCAGAGTGTCCTTTGTGTGGCAACGCGATGCCTCCTCGCTAGGGGCCCTGGAGAGCTCCAGGGTGGGCTGGTGGCCGGAAGACAAGCAAGTGACCGGAAGCGACTCAGCCCCACACCTGACCTCTGGGGAGGGGAGAGGCCAGAGAGTGAGTTCAGTCCTCCATGGCGCCCGGCTGGTGTGGCTCAGGGGTTGAGCGTCGGCCTATGAGCCAGGAGGTCAGGGTTCGATTCCCGGTCAGGGCACATGCCCGGGTTGGGGGCTCGATCCCCAGTAGGGGGCGTGCAGGGGGCAGCCAATCAGTGATTCTCTCTCATCATTGATGTTTCTCTCTCTCCCTCTCCCTTCCTCTCTGAAATCAATCAACATATATTTAAAAGAGGAAAAGAAAGTCCTCCATGGAGAATGATTAACCAGCCATGCCCGTGTAATGACACCCCATAAAAACCCCTAAACCCTGGGGTTCCCAGAGCTTCTGATTTGTGACCACGTGTCCATGCTCGGAGGGGCACCTCAGCTCCAGGGCCCTGGGCTTGGGCATCTGAAGGGGGGGCAGGCTGCTGAAGATGAAGGTGAAGCCAAGTCTAGGGCGGTGGGTACCCCGATACCCAGTGCTGCCTCCTACTCACACCCTCTCAGCGGCCACCGCCCTGCAGTCTCGTCTGTGTCAAATAGACCCCTGGCCCTGGCCGACTGAGCTGCCCAGGGAGGACCCACCCACTCGCCGGCTGCACCTCCACCTGGGGTTTCCCCGGGCCAGAGACAGCGGCCGGGGAGCGGGCTAGGGGCTGAGCCAGGCCGGCACCTGGACGCCGGGGAGGTCAGAGCTGGGCCACCCACAGCGAGGGCAGGGGAGGGAGGCAGGGAAGCGATGCCGTGTCGCCGCCGTGACCGACCCGCGCATCCACAAGAAGTGGCAGGGCCGTCTCTCTGGGTCTCTAACTCCAGGTCCCGGCCCCGTGAGCCCCGGCCACGCGTGGCCCTGCTCCTCCCGCGTGGTGTCTGGTCCCTGCTGTCGACCGCAACGATCTCCCAGTGAACGAGCTGTCTGTCTGGCCTGGGCCTTTGCTACCTGCGACCAAGGGCCTTGGCTGCGTGCTGTTTGGAGCAGCAACTGACTCAGTGATTATAAGTGAGGGCGCGGTCCAGTCAGGCCAGCAAAGTCTGCACAGACAGCCGCCGCCGCCACCGGGCGTCCTGACCTCCAGCCCCTTTGCAAACCCGGCGCGGGCCGCCTGGCTGCTGGGTGGGGGCGGGGTGGCTCCTGCCTTTGCTATTTCCAAGGCGTCAACATCCACGTTGGACGCTCCTCCCTCCCCTGAATATATTTTGTAAAAATATACTTTTGATTTCAGAGAGGAAGGGAGAGGGAGAGAGAGACAGAAACATCAGTGATGAGAGAGAATCATGGATCGGCTGCCTCCTGCACGCCCCACACTGGGGATCGAGCCCACAACCCGGGCCTGTGCCCTGACCGGGAATTGAACTGTGACCTCCTGGTTCATAGGTCGACGCTCAGCCACTGAGCCACGCCGGCCAGGCCCTCCCCTGAATCTTAACCAGAGCTGGTGGCAACTCCAACCCAGGTCTGACCAGGGTCTGGCCAGGGTCCGGCGTGATCTCAAACCCTGGGCCCCACCGGTCTTTCTATAAATAGCGGAAGAGCAAGTTCAAGGCTCCCGGGCAGGCCCCACGGGAAGGGCCACTCTGCTCACCTCTTTACAGTCCTGCCTCCGCGCCTCATTCATCTGAAACACCCACCACGGGGCTCCCTGCTGTGTCACCGTGAAGGTCAAAGTCTTCACCTGGACCCCAGGCCCTGTGTGGCCCGCCCCCCCCCCCGTCCCCGCGGCCTCCAACCCATGATGCTGAGTCAGAGCCGGCTGGGGACCTGCTGGGTCAGAGCCGGCTCCGCGCCCTTGGCGGGGACCTCCCCGCACCGCCCTCTCACTCTCAGGTCACCGCGCTCTGTTCACTCTCAGGTCACCGCCCTCTGTTCGTGCTCAGGGTGAAGGAGCGGGTGTGACGTACCTGGCATCTGGCAGGCGCTCAGGACGCTGCTCCTCCCGTTACCGAGGCCTGAGCGTCACTCCTCCCGGGCCGGGCTCGTCCCTTCCCGGGCCGGGCTCCTCCGGGGCCTGGGGCTGCGGTGGCCGGGCTCTGGAAAAGGGGAGAAGCGGACTGGGCGGAGCCGGAGGGAGAGCAAGGGCGCTGCCTTCGCTCCGAGTTATGTCTGCAGCCTGCAGCCGCGGCGCCCGGGTCGGGTGGGACAGGCGCTTGGTAACTCCCCACGGAGCTCCTTCCGGGCTCACAGGCCGCCCGTGGGTTGAAGGGAAGGACCAGGCTCCTCGGGAGAAGGGGGCCGGGAGGGGAGGGAGGCTCAGTCTGAGCAGGTGCGGAGGGGCTGCCCCCTTCCCTGCCGGCTGCGGGCCTGTGCAGGCTCGGGCGGTGCTCGCTTGGGAGTGAGGGGCCTGGGCGGCCGTTTAATCAGGAATCGGATTGATTTGGGCCGAAGGATTAATCGCAGGTGACACCGGCCCTCCCAGGGCTGACAGAGCTGTTCTCCTCAGGTGTCAGCTCGATCGCAGGGAGCTGTCACGGCCTCGCCCCGGGGAGCGCAGGACACGCTTCTCTGGAGGACGCCGTCTCCTTGGCGTCCCCAAGGCCTCCCTGAGCAGCCGCCCCCTGCGGGCACCTCGAGGAGGGCTCTGGGCACCGCGGGGAGGGCCGTGGGCACCTCGAGGAGGGCTCTGGGCACTGCGGGGAGGGCCGTGGGCACCTCGAGGAGGGCTCTGGGCACCGCGGGGAGGGCCGTGGGCACCTCGAGGAGGGCTCTGGGCACCGCGGGGAGGGCTGTGGGCCGGTCTCCGGGCCGAGTGCCCAGCCGATGTCAGCAAGCCGCCCACAGGCGAAGGGGAAACGACAATTTTCTTCATTTTCAAGAAGGAGGGGCCGTGGGTTCCTTCTATAACCAGAGGAAAAGGCTTCTGGAAATTGGCTGGTGAGAAGGTTCCTTTGCAAGAGACGGAGCGCAGGTGGGCCCAGGCTGGCACAACCACCAGACGTGTCAGCACAGACTGGGGAAACCGAGGCACAGGGCAGCCGGGAATGAGGCTGCCCTTCCGGCCTCTGCCCTCAGAGTTGGCCCCCACCCTGAGGAGCCTGAGGTCGGGGGAGA